GGGCTACATACTGAGTTCAAGGACAGCCTGCACTGCAAAGCAAGACCCTGTCTCAAAAAACCAAAAACATAACAAATAAAAAAGGAGTAAAGCAAGGGCAATGGGATAATAATTCCATGTTAAAGAATATCAATAAACAGAAATTACAAAAAGAAATAGAAATACAAGAGCTGCAAACTACAATGACTGGAGAATTCATTAAAGGCTCAACAGTACGAGATTTGAACAAGCAGAAAAATCAATGAATATTAAGACTAAGCAACAAGAATAACTGAAAAAACTGAAGAAAAATAAACAGCCTCAGAGAAATGTAAGACATTATTAAGCATACCAACACATACATTAAGTACACCAGAAGACAGAGGACTTGGAAGAAAAATTTTGGTGAAGTAATGGCTATTTATTAAGAACAACAATAATATACATATCCAGAAAGTTCAATAAATTCTAAGTAAGAAAATCTACAGAAATTCACAGATTTATAATACTAAATACTGAAAGACAAAGATAAAGGAAAATTCATGAAAGCAAGAAGGGTCCCCTACTAACAAAGGAACCCTAAAATTAACAAGTTTCTTGGTAGAAACAGTGGAGTTCAAGCCAGGCACAGTAGTGCATACTTATAATCCCACTGGTCTACTCAAGAGGCTGAGGCAGGCAGACTGCAAATTCAATACCAGGCTAGGCCATTTAGCAAGATCCTGTCTCAAAATTAAAAAGAAAACGTAAAAAGGGGACTGGGAATGTGGCTTGGTAGTGAAGTCCTTATCTAGTATGTGTGAGACTCTACATTCAACCCCCAGTACAAGGAAGGAGGAAAGAAGGGGAAAAGGGAGGGAAAGAGAGAAGGAAGGAAGGTGCAAGGAAGAAAAGGGGGGAAGGAAACAGGAGGGCAACAAGGCAGAAGAAAGAAGAGGGAGAGAGGTAGGGACATAAGCATGGAGAGAACAAATGAACAAGGCCAGAAAGTAATAGGTTAACTTTCAAAAATGCTCAAAGAAAAAAACTGTCAAGCAAAACTTCTATACACAGCAAAAATACTGTTCCAAAATGGAAGTGAAAGAAACACATACCCAAACAAAAACTGGAAGAATTTACTGCTAGAAAAGCTACCTCACAAGAAATAACTAAATGAAGTTCTTATAACTGAAAGTAAGACACAGATTGCAAATTAAATCCATACAGAAAAAACAAAGAACACTGGAAAAGTTAATGAAGTAATTACACAATACAATATAAATGTTTACTTTTCCTACTTTCTTCTTTGAACTGATTTGAAAAATAATTACATAAAGTAATTATATTCATATTACATATGAATATATTTTGACACTATGACATATAGAGATACAACATATTTATTTGCCAATGACATAAAAAGGAGACAGGTAGGATTACAGCTGTCAGGATAATGAAATAATTCCAGATATATGTCATTTACCAAAAAATGATAAAGTTCATGTAACACAAGTTATATAAGTTCTCTCAATTTCTTTAAAAGACATTATATAAATTAATAATCATGATAAAGGTATTGTTGGAATTATAACACGTGACAATATGTAAAAATAACAAAAAGAGGAAGCACTAGAACTGTATGAGTAAAATATTATCTCACTAGAATGAAGTTATAAAAGTCTTAGAAAACATATGCGTAAACCCTCATTCATGCTTTCAGATTTGGCAATGGATTCTTAGATATAACACCAAAAGAATTAGCAAGGAAAGAAAAACAGATAAATTTTACTTGGTCAAAACAAAACAAAAAGCTTTGTTACAAGGAATCTAGCCTAGGGCCTTTGACATAATAAGCATCTACTTTACCACTACACACACCAGCTAAAATGAAAAACGTACATGCTTCATAGGACACTATCAAAAAATTAAAAAGAAAACCCACACAATGAGAGCATTTGCAAATTATCTGATAAGAGACATGTGTCCAACACATATAAAGAACCTTTACAAATCACTAAAATAATGAAATTTTTAAAACCCTGAGCTGAGATGATCAGCTCAGTAATAGAGTTTATGCTTTGCAAACACCAAAAAGCAAAAACCCAATAATACAATTTAAAAACAAGCAAAGGATACAAATAGACATTTCTCCAAAGAAGATATAGGAATGGTTAACAAGCACATGGTAGGATACTCATTATGTTAGGTTATAAAGGAAACACAAATCAAAACGAAGACAGTACCAATTCACACCCACTGTGATGGCAAGAATCGAAATCAGGTCAAGTGTCAGGGAGAAATGGGAAACCTCATACACTTCTGGTAATAATGTCAACCAGCCTTATATTATTTGAAGACCAGTCTGGCAATTTCTTAAACAAGTAAACAAAGTTACCAAATGATATGGCAATTCTACTCTTATGGAAGTATAAAGTATGTATACCTAAAGGAAATAAAAACAAGCTGGTGTAGTGGCACACACTTATAATCCCAGCACTGGGAAGGCTGAGGCAAGGAGGATCACAACAAAGTCAAGGCCAGTCTGGGCTACACAGGGAATTCAAGGCCAGCGCAGACTACACAGCGAGATCCTGTTTCAAAAAAAAAAAGTGAAAAGAGAACAGAAAAAAAACCTATGTCTACACAAAAACACATATATATTGCCAGATATGTAGCTCAGCAGCACAGCACCTGCCTGGCAAGCACAAGGCCCTGAATTCAATACCTGGTACCAAAAAATATCACATATAGTAATATTCCTAACAGCATTATTAATAAGAACCAAAAGGTGAAAATAATCCAAATGATCATCAACTGATAAACGCATAAAGAAAAATTTTTCTATTGTTCTCATATGCAGCCCATTATTTGTCCTTAATAAGGTATAAAGTACTTACACATGCGATAATATAAACAAACCTTGAATACATAGTGCTAAGTTAAAAACAGTCACAAAAGACAACATGCATTCATATGAAATATCCAGAATGAATATATATAGAATGAATATAGATTGGTTGTTGCTTAGTGATGGGGGAGAGAGAAAGATATAAAAAATGTGACAGCCAAAAGGTATTGGGTTCCTTTCTGAAATGATAAAAAGGTAAAACTGATTGTGGCACATCACTGAACATACTAAAATATATTGGATTGCATGACCTTAAATGGGTGACGTGGTACATATTTTAAAATGTTCAATAATGACGTTTAAGAAATTAAAAAGTGTATGAACAATATCGTGATGAATACAGTCAAGGACTCCTTAAACTCAGAAGCAGCTGAGGCAAAAAAATTTTTTTGTCTTTTTCCTTTTTACCAGTACCAGGGATCGAACTCACAACTGCCTGCTTCCAAGGCAGGCGCTTATGCCGCTGAGCTAAATCCCCAGCCCCCAGCTGAGGCAAAATTGATGCCTCAGTTTCTACTATTTAAATATTAATAAAATAAATCTAAAATTGTATCATTCAAAACCCATAAATCTTTTTTTAATAGTAACTAATAGAGTGGCAGGTATCCTTTTTTGGGGGGAGGGGTTCTTTGGTTTTTTTTTTGAGACAGTGTTTCCCTATGTAATTCAGGCTGCCTCTGAGATCACTGTGTAGTGCAGGTTGGCCTCAAACTCACAGCAATGCTTCAGCTACCAGAGTGCTGGAATTACATGTGTGCACCACCACTCTTGGCTGTACTTTAATTTTACAAAGCATATTCTATTTCACAGCACAGGTTTAAGGCACTATTCTAGGAGAAAAATTGACTTTATAGTTCATCCAAGAAATTATATCCTTGTGGGAGTATATATAAGTTCATACAATACTTCTTTTTAATGTGTAAGAAGCACTGTTTCTATTCTACTGGATTTCATCAAAGGAAATGTGCTGGTTTAACTCATCAACATGATTTCCTAACACTACACTAAGGTTTCTTTCAACTCTACAATGTTGTGCTGTATGTTACTGGCAAATGTTTGGGGAGATGGATATGCCAATTACCCTAATCTGATTTTACAAATTATATACATTTATTGGAATGTTAACTATACCCCATAAATATATACCATTATATGTTCAATTAAAACTTTAAATTTTAAAAACTATAAAATTCTTGAAGGTATGACTGTATGTTTCTCCTAAGAACTTACCTAGCACAGTGTTTATGTGCATAGTAATGGATATTAAATATTATCAAAAAATAAAGCTTTAAGAGGTTGTTTCTCAAAGCTGACAATATCGTACTTTAAAGTGATACTGATGAAGTGGTGGCAACTAAATTTTCATTTAATATATGGTAAATAAAAAAGATATACTGAAGTATATTAAGTACAAAGTTTTTAAAAACTGTTTTTGAGTGAGAGGTAATAATGGACACAAACATTAAGAAGTGCCATAACCACTGCTACACTCATAAGCTAAGGAAAAGCATTCTTTCAACTTCAAAATGACCTAGTATTCAGGAATACTACTGAGTATTCAGATCAAAGGATAACCGTGTTTATATATAAATTTTGGGCAGAGCATGTTTTGGACAGAAAGATAACAACTGTCAAGGCGCTCGTCTGTCCCCAAGGGGGTAGACTGCTGCCAATTCAATTTGCCTCTGGTTTATAGGTGACTTGCGGTCATCTTACAGCACCCTCCAAAATACAACTTTTAACTAAAATCTGAACTACAGACAATTTGGTATCACAATCCATTACTAATTTTGGAAAATGGCCCTGTCTTCTTTGCATTTAGAAATATAAGGAGGCTGGGAAATGTTGCCTGCCCCATCTCAACATCAGGGGGAAAAACCCTGCAAATACTATGAGATACTTAGGCGCGCCAGATGCCCTGCCCCTCCGTTTCTCTTTGCTGACCCCATAGGTTTTCTTCACCTCTTTCTCAAATTACTAATCTTAATTTCCTTCTCTTAACAGTAGCTCGGAGTTAGCCCAGACAATCTTTCTTCCTCGGGTTCTCTCTGACCCGAGGTCACGAGGGCAGCCTTTTCCCCCAATAAGGTCCCCTTGTCCTTCACCCTACTATTCCATGTGACCGGCGTCTCACCTGGTAGTTTCGTGCTGTTCCTGAGGCGCCGCGCAAATGTGACTGCCACTGCGGATGTGAGCCAAGGACAGTGACCAGAGACCGGATCAAAATTGCAGAGTGCCGGCGCTTTTCGAAAGCAGCCGCCGCAGCTGCCCAACGCCAAGAACGTATCGCGAGCAGCGCCATCTTAAGCGAGGAAAAAGAAACAAGAGAAGGGGATTGTGGGACACTGGCTGACTGAAAGTGGTTCCCGGAATCGTCTCTCCCCTCCCCCTCGTCCTTTCCCTTTGGACACCGGAAATAGCTTGTATCTGTTGATTCAGGCCCTTTGAATACCTTCTCTTTTTTTATCTCCCTGGGACTGGACTTTGTTTTTCTTACACAACCTAGAATAACGGAGCAGCAGTGTCTTTTGCTCTTTTCCTTACAATTGCCAGATGTAATTAAAGAGACAGAGGTACACAGTAAAACTGCTATAAATAGCCACCATAGATCACATGCCACCATAGCTTACATGGTAACACTCTTTAAGTATGAAACAATTACACGTGAATGTGGGTAATATTTTGCAATTTAAGAAGTGCTTCTTACATTATATAGTTGTATTTAATCCTTACAGCAACCCTGTAGAATAGGTATTATTTACAAATATTCCCATATTTATGAGGAAACATTGAGATAGGTCGTGGCTTGACAAAACACACAGAGCTAATGAGATGATGGGATGGAAACGAAATTTGGGCTTCAAAGCTTTTTCAGTGCTCTTTTTATGAAATTACACCTAAATTTGAAAGGAACATTTGTGTACTTTAGAAGGCCATATTGATCTATTTCGAAAAAAATGCTAGAATTTATTCTTTTTTCTGGCCTTGTGCTCTTGTTTTTCCGTCTAGCTCAAACGTCTTTGCTATAGCTTTGTACATGATAATTTTTTCCGGCCATTCGAGTCTCTAACTCAAATAACATCTGATTATGACAAAAGCACTTTATCTAAAGAAGCCATTACCCCAGATTCTTGTCATTTTTTATCACGTTGTATTATATTTCTCTAAACCACAGACCACTAGCATTTATATCACTCGCGATATTGTTAGAACTTCAAAATCTCAGTCCTCATACCATACCGAAAAATTCCAAATCTGACTTTTAAGAATTCCTCAGGTTATTTATATGCATATTAAAGTTTGAGAAGCACTTAAATAGCTATCGTTTTCTGGAACTTCTTTTTTTGTGTACTTTAACATTAAGAGTGCCAGGAGTGATGGTGCACACATGTAGCACTTGGGACACTGAGGCAGGAGGATCAATGCAAGTTCGAGGTCAGCCTGAACTACCTATTAAGTTCAAGACCAGCCTGAACTGAACAATCCAGTGCGACCCTGTCTCAAAAAAAAAGCAGTAACAGATTAATCATTGCACAAGTGAAAAGGCAACCAAGAGATGGAAATAGAAAAAAGAAGAGGGGTCAAGTAATTAAGATGTGCTGTGTACATGTACCACAATGAATTTCATCATCGAATACTCTAAACATGCACTAATAAAAATTTTTGAATAAAAAATATTTAATCATAATTGAAAAGTTACAAAGGAAAATGTAATGGATTCCATATGCCCACAGTCCAGGTTAGCCATATATTAACATTTTATCATATTTACTTTCAGTCTTAAAAGTAATGATATAGTTGAAGATCTCTGTTATCCATCTTTAATCTTAATCACTTTGTCATTATGGACTTATTGCTATTTTATTCTTTTATGTTATTTTAATAAAGTCTAGAAAGTAAAGATAAAAATTATTAATCAATCGTGATTGTCTAGGTATCATATATTTGATGATGACAGTACACATTCAATACTAAACATGACAAGGACTATACAAAAAGTTATAGGTCAATCTTACAAACATGAATTATACATTTTTAATAAACTAAGTCACCTCTGTGTAAAAACATTGTAGGTGGATATGGTGAACCTATCAGTCTTTATTTCCTTGCTAATTATTGATCAAATTACAAAGTAAAGCAGGGCATGGTGGTACATAGCTGAAATCCCAGTGCTCTGAGAGGCTGAGGCAAATTTCAGACCAACCTGGGCAATTCAGCACTTAGTGAGCCCAGGCAGAGGATGTAGTACAGTGAGAACGTCCTGAGTTCATTTCCCTGTACCGCCACCACCACCACTATCACCATCACCAAAAAAGAGAGCTTAAATTACATATTGATAGCTAAAACTGAAAGGTAAAATTATATCTTCCAATCCATGCACACAGGATATCCTCTCATTTCATATTTTTTATTCTCCTCAGAAATATATTGTAGTTTTCAGTGTATAACTTTTTTGCTGCCTAAGTTAAGTTTATTCCTAGGTATTTTGCTCTTTTTGGTTCTGTTATAAATAGATTTTAATTTCCATTTCAGTTTATTCATTGTTAGTGTGTAGACAAGCAACTTACTTTTGTTAATTTTGTACTCTGAAACTTTGATCAATTTATTAGTACTAACAGCTTTTTGTGGCATCTTTAGGGTTTTGTATAAATAAGACCATAAAAACTGGGCACAGTGGTGCATGCCTGTAATCCCATCACTCTGAGAGGCAGAGACAATTGCAAGTTTGAGTCTAGTCTGTACAATTTAGCAACTTAGCAAAACTCTGCTTCAGAATTGAAATTTAAAAGGACTAGGCATGTTGCTCAGCATAAAGAACTTGGGCTTAGTCCCTAGTACAAAATTTTTTTTAAAAAAGAATAAGGATTAAAATAGAAAATTCTACTTATTTAAATTATATAATTTTCAAGATTAAAAGATAGTTTTCAGGTAAACTAATAAAAATAAGAATTAAAGTTATTAAATAGTTCCACCCAGAAACATCAATACCTTACAAAATATTTAGAAATTTTAATTGTCCAAGTTTTTTAATACATTTTCTATTCAATGTTATGGTCTTTTAATACACATGTAAAATTAATTTATAATTATATATTAATTTTAACCTTATTTAAGCTTGTATATAACATGTCAGTTTTTATTAACACATGTTTGCAGAACATAATGCTTATACTGTTCAAGAGGACTTCGTAGATGTACATAACACATCTTAATTTTTTATCATCCCCTTCCCCTCTTCCCTCCTCCCTTTCTCCATCTCTTGGTCCCCTCCCCTTTCGCAAAAGATCTATTTTTCTGTTTCCTATTATCTATCTTTTATTTTTCTCTTTAATGTTTTACACCTTGAGTTTCTCATATAAAACAAACAACGCAATATTTAAGCTTAGGTGTCTGATTTATTTCACTTCACACTATGGTCTGAAGGGACAGACATTTTCCCACAGATGACTCAAATTCATCTTTCTTTATGGTGCAATACTACTCCATTGTTTATAAATACTACATTTTCTTTATCGGTTAGTCTGTTGAGGGAACATGTAGGCTGCTTGCAACATTTAGCTCTTATGAGTTGTGCTGCTCTAAACATGGATATGAATATATCACTGTGATATAGTGTCTTTAACTTTTTTGGAAGATATCTAGAAAGAGAATAGCTAGATCAAATGGAATTTCACATTTATAGGTAGTGTTTTGAGGAATAACCTTAATGATTTCCATAGTTTTTGTAGTACTAGTTTATATTCCCACAGACAATGTAGAAGGGTGTTCTTTCACACAGACACATAGGTTCACCAACATTTGTTATTTGATATCCTAATGATAGCTTTTCTTTCTGTAATAAGATGAAATCTTGGTGTTGTTTTAATTTGCCGTTCTCTAATGTATAGAGAGAGGTTGAACATTTTTCATGTGTTTATTCATCATTTGTACTTCTTCTGAGAAGTGCCTATTCATTTTAATTGCCCAATTTTGATGGGATCTTTTATTTTAGGGCATCTAATTTTTTATTTCTTTATATAGACCAGATGCTAGTCCTATGTGCAAGGTGTAACTGGCAAAAATTTTTCCCATTCTGTAAGCTGTCTCTTCATGTCGATTTTTTCCTTTGCTGCATAGATTTTTTAACTTGAAATTATCCCATTTATTGATTCTTGTCATTTCTTGTGCAACTGGTGTTCTGTTCAGAAAGTTCTTGCCTGCACTTATGTCCTTAAAAGTTTTACTTATCTTTCAGGTTCAGTGTTTCCATTTTAATTCTTGGATCTTTGAAACCTTTGATTTCAGTTTAGCATGTGATATGAGACATTTGTTTAGACTCAGTCTTCTGCATGTACAAAGTCTGTTTCCCCAGCATCATTTACTAAAGAGGCTATCTTTCCTCCAGTGTATGTTTTTGTCCCCTTTGTCAAAGATCAGGTCATTGAATGTGCTTGGGGTTGTTTGTGCATCCTCAACTCTGTTTAACTCATCCACATGTATATTTTTGTACCAGTACCATGCTGTTATCCCTGTAGCTTATAGCAATCTGATAAAAGCCATTTATAACAAACCTACTGCCAGTATATGATTAGTGGGAGAGAAGCTAAGTCTTGCCTTCTAAAATTAGGAGCAAGCCAAGGATATAGTCCCACAGCACAAGTGCCTACCTGGCAAGTGCAAGGTGCTGATTTCATTTCCCAATACTGGTAAGTAGGAACAGAGATATTCACTATCGCCACTACTACTGAACATAGTAATCAAACCAGATATATATTTAAATAGAAAAAAATTATATATGAAAGGAAAAAGTTAAATTACCATTATTTGCAGATGACATGATCCCCTAGATACCTAAAAACTTCCAACAAAAGACACCCACAATTAATAACTAAATTCAGCAATGAAAAACCAATAGTGTTCTTGTAACCCAATAATTAACTCATTGAGAAAGAGATTAAGAAAACAATACCATTCCCAGTCACATTAAGAAAAATTACATATTTAGAAATTAACCTAACCATATATTGCAATCCCAGTCAAAATACAAATAACATGATCCATAGAACTAGAGAAAACAATCCTAAAATTCATATAAAACCCCAAAAGGCCCAGCAGAGCAAAAGCATTCCTGCCTGGTCAAACGTAAAATTCAGGAGACACTACAATCCCAGATTTCAAGTTATATAAGAAACCTATAGTGATATCATGTGAATTTGTGTATTTTGTCATTGATTCTTGTTTGCTTTTTTTCTGTGCTTTGTTTTGTTTTGTTTTGTTTGCCTTTTTGAGGTACAGTTTCACTATGCAGGTCAGACTGATCTTGAACTAACTTTGTAGCCCAAGCTGGCCTCA